AGTAAGTAGACATGCTATGAGATATCTTGGGAATTTTTAATACAGATGGGTCCCCAGCAGCCGCTCGGATTCTTTGTTCGAGGTTGTCTCCTCTAGCACTTTGGCTCAAGAAACTAACCACAAGGCAGTGGTGGTGGTGGTGATGGCAAAGAGCCTAACCCCTTAGGCTATGGGAAAATCCCAAATAGTAAGGAAGGTTTAAAGTATATTCCTTCGAGAAGTCTGAATAAGATGGAAAGCAGTATAAGCCAAATTAAAACAGACGCATTGCTTTTAAAACATAAGGAACCATTTAAGTGTTAAAGATTATTTTTTGCTAATGCTTGAAGATTTTTGACAAAAAACGTTGCAAAAACTTTTTAACCGCATTTATTTACCACGTATTATCGCAAAGGTCAAAGTAAAGGCGTCAATGATTGAATCTAAAGCCTGTAGCAATTTTTTCGTTAGTATAATATAATTTCCGCTTATGCGTAAAGTAGAAATGGAACAGACAGAAGATAAACATTCGCAAGCTTAGTACAGAGCCTGTAAGTAATAATCTGTGGAGCTTTGGCGTATAGTACGGGCAGAGTTCGCAGCCATTAGTTCAGAGTGGAGAGGTTGAGCAACCTCTCTGAGGATGCGATGAGCCAATTGCTTGACCATTTTAAGGTGTCGCTGCATTTTAATATCAGTTCAAGATGTATAGGAAGCACCGGCAGCTGAAGAGAGCATTCGAAAGATACATTTTAAATGGTCAGGTCGTTTTAAATAAGACTGGAAAATAACTGAAGAGCATGTGACTGCGTTTTCACGAAGTTTGTGTCGCATGAAACATAAAATTTGCGATCTTCTAGTGTGCGTTTGGCACTTTGAATTTCATTTTTTCTATGCATTATTTTTATTTTGGCAGAAAAACAGATAATGAAGCGGCTAAAATGGCTATATATTAATGACAATGGTTGCGCCATTTCCGAGGAAATTAATACCGGAACTTGACATACATCCGTCTGAACAGAACTTTTTAAACTCGGTCCCAAAGTTCCTATGGAAATTTGCACATAAATCCACCAGCCACTTCAAAACACTTACCCCATCATATGCACAAGCTGCCCACGAGCCCTTATTTGGCAAACTGACAACATAGATACTAGCCCAAAATCCCCCAGAGGCACCTATTTCGCCGATCAAGTACCGCTTCCTGACGCAATAGCGAGCCTTTCGGTTCATCTGTGAGCCCTCCGGCCTCCCTTTTGTGTTTTTTTCTTGTATATGAAATCCAGTTGTAGGCCGTCGTGTCTAACCAAAGCACGACAGGCCGGCTTATTTTCGGACTCATAGCCAAGGTACTCATGTACTCCATGTCCTTCACATTTTCCGGTTGCGAAAACGACATGTTGTGTGAGGAAGGCCTTCGATGTTTCATCTCAAAAATTGTAGTCAGGGGTTGATGTGTGGTATGGTGCGCTTGAAATGTGCTCCAAGTAATTCCTGGTGAGTTGAAATGGCCCGTGCGCATGCCAATATCCTGTAGCATAACGAGACTGACAGTGTCCAAGTGGAGCTATAATAATCGACTTATACTATACAGGGTGTCCACGAAGTCTGGGTACATAGGGGATAAATACATACCTTT